AACCAAACAAAAATGCAAACCATTATGCTCAGCCTGGGAAAAAGCACTCGACATTATTCCTCTTTCGATCACCCCCACTCTCAATGTCAATAGAACCGTGTTCCAAAACTCGCCACAACAACAAACACTACAAAGCACCTTTAATATGACGTTCTTCACATTCAACGCAACGCAAGGGGAACATTTCGAGAGCAAGAATATAGCGGATAGACGACTAAAATCTAATGTGTTTTTGTTAGTTTCGTAGAAAATTGAACGAACGATGAGGAAGTCAATAGCGAATTTCCGTAAGTGGTGTTTTGAACAGGTGAACCTCTTGCAATTGCACACGGAGATGGATTTCGCAAGAAAGAGACGACTGCTTTGAAGAAGATGGAGATCGAGAAAGATCTTTTCGCTATAATCTTCAGAATAGTGTGGACGTGCTCTTTTTAAAAGATGTTGTAGGGGAAGTATTGCCCTCTTTACTCATTGAGAAAAGTTCTGGAAAAGTATAAACTTTCGTAGCTAAAAGAAATCAGGTTGTTCATGCATAATGTTCTCATACTTATAGGGAACATCTTCAAAAGCTAACATTCCTTGTCGCATGCGTAGTGTTCCAGGCGCGCGCGTGACTTGCATCTCAAAATGTTTGCGCGGCTCGCTTCTGCACAATGACCACACACATCGCATTGTGCAGCAGTGTCGTTCCGAACGACGAAACTTTTTTAAACGAGAAGCCGCACCCCCCTGACACTATAAAGAGCCGCGGGTCACTCAGACTCTTCCATGTTCTCTAGCGTGAGCAACCGCTAACCTTCGCATATGCTTTCGGAACGATTAACGTTTCTCTTCTAAGGAACATCTTCTACTTCCTCTTGTCGGTAATTTTTAGTAAACGTTTTCTCTACTCGTATTTGTACTGCAGGATGAAGTCCCTAATTTGCCTTATGACTCTTCCTATTCTTGGATTTGCCTATCCTCCCCGACTCGGTGACCCATTCAGTCCCCTTGGCCCGTGGACAAGCAGGGTTCGCATCTATTTAAGGCTTTTTATACTCTTCACTCAAAAACGCCATCATTTCATATTAGGGACCACCATGCGGACTTCCCCCATTTGTTGAAAAATTGCCAGAAGATGCTCAGGAGAAAATCCGAGCTATCTGGAGCAATTACAAGGAGGGCGAAGACTGCATGAAAGAGCACAAGCAAACTAA